GGGGGGGGGGGGGGGGGGGGGGGTTGCTTGCTGAATTGATCGATGCGCAGGGTTTCGCATTTATTCATTACTTTTCTCTACATTTCTTTGAGTGTTCTATGTCTCGCATCATATTTCCCTTCATGCCCAGTATTAACATGGTTGAATTATTTTTGATATGCATGTTGATAGTAGTTTACATTCAGTTTTGCTGGATTAGCTACTTTATTCAGGAAGCTGCATACATTTAGAGTCCCTGACTGCTCTTGAATGGGTGAAAATTGATCCCTTGAATTGACTGCATTCAATTTTATGCTGGCCACTTGTCATAAATCATTCCAGAGCTTTGTTAGGATCTAACTACTTAGTCTTGCTTTCTATACATTCTTACTTTGATTGTAATGTGGTTTGATGAGGAAGACTTTTATCTCGATAGAAAGAACCATTTTTTTGTTAACATTTTATGTGCAATCAGCAAACATCTACAGTACTAAACAAGAATTATCAAATATTGTTGAAAAAGTTGGACTGTTTTTGGATTCAATTCTTCATGGTTTGTGAAATGCCAATGCCTGAAACATGTGCTTGAGTTACACAATGCCTTGTGTATCATTGTAAAAATTCCTTAGCTAATTTCATGTTTCTTGCCTGTTACATAAGTGAAACGTAGTCATGTGTTTTGTTTTACGGAACTGTTATTTATTCTCATCTATTTCTTTTCTTGGACAATTCCAAATAAAAGATGTTTTGTCAATGGTGTTCAGAGAAGGATGGCATCAGAAAATTACTTTGATAGTCGTTGTTTCTTTGTATTGCTGCTGATTGCCTACATATATATTTCATTTGGGCTGTGTGGTTATATTATGATATCCTGATCATCAGAACATGAAAGTTTCTCACTGATTTTAGGAAGCTGTTCATCAAACTGTTAGTGTCATTTTTGAAGATCCAGGAGTTCAAGAATTACTTGTAAAGCTATATCATAAAGGTAATGATTTTACCGCCGCCAACCTTTCTCCTGATGCCCTTTCTACAATATGTGGTGGATACTATTGAAAATACGTTCTTCCTGATCATTAATAGCACAATGAATGCACATCATTGATAGTTGCCTTTTCAGTACGTCAAGTTATTGTACAAGGAGTTCTAAATAATGGGATTCTCATTGTGATTTGTCAGAAATTGCTATGCTGTAGGTCGTTTTTATGATTTATCATCAAGTGTCTTGCGGATATCTTGGCTCACTCCCCATATATTTGCTTGTGTGTGCACATCACTGGGATTCAAAAGTTACTAGCTTTAGTTATCATAATCCAGTTGATTGACATTGGGTGAGATTTTGTGGATGAGGAAATAGATCAAGCTAAGCACATGTTTTCAAGTTTAATTATGTGTAAGCCTTGAGGTATTGGGCTGAGAGCTTATCAGTAACTTTATTTGGGAGGACATTATCAAATTAACGATAGAGTTTGTCTTGTAAACGTCAGATAATTGAGTCCATAGACAGATTTTCATATTTTTGGTATACAAGATTATTTTGAAGAGATGTTTGTATTGATCTGATGTTCTTTATATCTCAGATTGGTTAGAAGGGCAAGTCACTGAGTACCTTGTTGCAACATTTGGTGACTATTTTTCAGATGTCAAGATGTAAGTTATCCCTGTCTGTTTGGGCAAAAATAATTAAATAATTTCAGATGTATCTAAATCAAAAAACCCTGTACATTCACCATTTCCACATGAACGTTACATCTTGTTTCGAGTTGATGCATTAAAGTTATTCTACCTCAACGTAAAGGTACATTGAAGAAAGATCATTCAGACGATTTGTTGAGGCCTGCTTGGAAGAAACTGTTGTTGTCTATGTGGATCATCTACTTGTCCAGGTTCCTAACATGAGAACATCTTATATAGACAACATACCCTGACAGTATTTGCCCGCAGCTCTTATATATAGATGATCTTGATTATTTTGTAACGTATGCCTTGTAGAAAAATTATATCAAGGAAGATACGATTGAAAGGATGAAGCTAGATGAAGAGGTTCTCATGGATTTCTTCCGGGAATATATAAGTGTTCCTGTAAGCTTCGCCACATTTCCTTCAGGGATTTCCCCTCCTCCTCTTGTACCCCCCCACCCCCACCCCCCTCCCCTCTCTCTCTCCAAATAATCCCCGGAAACAAAAAATAATTAACCTTTTTTGAGTCCCGAACCTTGTAAGATTCTTTTATCATGGGATTTTTGAAATATATCCTTCTTCCTGTGGTTGTGATATTTGAGATATTAGGGAATATGAACTTACCTCTATACGGGAACAGCTCTTGGATAAGTTGCACTTGCCCCCTTTGTTGCTACACCAACATAATACACAGAGAGAATATAAAAAACAGAAATAAAGAAGGGCTCTGAATTATGTTGGTTATGTAAAGATTGAGTAGAAACTAACCAATACAGACTGGTCCATGTATTATATCCTACCTCATTATACCTTAATTTCTACTTTAACCAAAACTAATATTAATTTTTTACCTCTAATGTGGTCTTATCTGTTTATAATATTGCGTATTTTTCTGTAGTGATTACTATTTTTATAATTAAACAAATGCTTTACCATATATTTTGCAGAAAGTTGAAAACAGAGTTAGGGTACTCTGTGACTTGAGAGAACTTGCTTCATCGGAGAGTCCAGATTCTTTCACACTTGTGTACACAAATATTCTCGAACATCAACCGGACTGTCCTGTAAGTGTTAATTGAGTAATAATACGTTTTTGTAGTATATTTGTGGCACTAGTGCGTCTGTAAAAGCTTATTACTTCAGTATCCAAGGAGAAGGAAGCATTAGTAATTCGTTTTCGAGTCAATTTTTCCTCTTCAACAACTGATTAGGAAAGAGAATTTACTTCTCTTTATTTTCGGTTAACCTTTGCTCTTCTGTCGATCAGCCAGAAGTGGTTGAAAAACTTGTCAGCTTACGAGAAGGCATACCAAGGAAAGATGCTAAAGAGGTAAATGTTACTAGAAATGAGTTTCTATATAAGAATTCAGAGCCAACTTTGTTTCATGGATTATCTTAGCTGATAAGTGAATAAGTTAATTGAGGTTGTCTATGGAAAACTTGATTTGTTATCAATAGGAAAGACTATCCGTTGGATGATTTGTTGGTTGACTCAGTTTGATATCACGAGTACCATTAGTGTATTTTACGATGTTTGCTTTAAGAAGTTTGAGATTTTCTATTAAATGCATCCTCGATGTGCATTTTCTTTGTCATACAGGTTGTTCAGGAGTGCAAAGAAATATATGAGAACTCTCTTGTCGATGGGAATCCTCCCAAGGCGGGTTTTGTTTTTCCAAAGGTGAAAAGCCTATCGGCTTCCAAAACCCCCTTGTGGCGAAAGCTTACCTAGTTCCAGAGCAGTGGCAGATTTTGTCCATGAACCCAATTTCCCAACCTTCCGCTCTCATCCCAGTACAAATTGTTATATTGCTACTATATCTTTGAGGTTTTATTTGATTCATTCTAAATATATGTTTGGGGAATCTTATATTTTATTCATGAATTTCAAATGAATGCAGTGTCTGAAATTACATTTATCTAAACAATCAACTTGGAATATTTTAGGAACAAGTTTATAAGTTGATTAGCCTTTGATAGAAAGAACGGAATGTCACAGAAATTAAATTTTATTTTCCTTGTGAGAGTTATCACTTATGCGTGTTTGGTACATAGTATTCTTTAGTTTCTTTTTCTTTCTCGATAAATTTCAGAGATATCTAAATCATCAAATTCTCTAGAGCGTGTCTGCAATTGCAAACAATTGAAAGAGAGGAAAAACCCTACAAACACAAAATAACGCTAAATCCCTTTTTGATTGGCATTAAAATTAGATTTTTAGTAGAATTTAATAAAATATGTGATTAAAATTAATTGTTGAATTTGGCATAGATTAAAATCTGAATTTTAGTACTTAGTAAATGGGGGCTAAGCATTTGAATTCCATGAAAAAACAAATTTTAGGGGAAAATGGAAAGAACACTTCAGTCGAGAATGAACATAAAGCACGCAAAGCAAAATTAATCGACCAATCAAAATTTCAATGATTTTTACATACAGAGAGTGGGAAAAAGGAAATTATGAATGATACAAAAGAATGAGAAGCAAGAAATAAACAACAAAACTCCTAATCAATCTTCAACCCAGAAGAGATGAACCCCCAACGCGTTTTTATCTAGAAAACCGCAGAGATAGCAACCTTTCACCAGCCCCTTACAGATAGAGCACCAAATCCTGCTTCGAGAATGCTTGTGCATAAAATGCAGGCTCTTGAAAAAACATCAGTCGTAGGTAGCCCTCAGCGAGCTGCACATTGTATCCATTCTTTATATCTGTGTCGTTTGGAAGCCCAACTCAGTTGAAAGGGTATAATACTACCCTTTGAGAAGCATCATGCACATTAGGAAGAAAGAAAAGAAAAAAAAGCAGCAGCAGCAGAAAACTACTTGAATATCAAACCTTTTGGAAGTTCGACTTAGATACCAGAATCTCACAAAGAGATTAAAGAACTAGATTTCAAATGTTCACAAAACATGGGCAGAGAATAAAAGTAACAACGTGCTATGTAGAACATAAATTTTCACAACTGAGACTTGGAAATCTTTAGACAAAATTAAAGTAAAATGTATACAACTTTATGATAATAAAGTGATGGATTATTTCCAGCTCAAGAAGGCAGCATGAATTTTGACAAGGAGAAAAGACTTTGGAGGTTACATATAATGTTTGAAGGACAAATCTGTTACTATTTACATTTTTTCCCCCCTCAAATCAGGTAATGCCTACATACAATAAAGAAAATCTGTAGGTAAAATAAAAAAATAAAGAAAGAATGTAGTAAATAAACTTTAGATTTTACTGTGCTTTCCCATTATGAACCAGAATCTTCTTGTTATTATATGTGCAAGGAAAGTCGAGATAAAAGGCAAGACCCACAAAACTTTCGTAGGTTTAAATCAAAACTCTGAAAATATTTGTCGTTCAATCGTTGATATTGCATATGAAGTTTATCCAGAACAAAAATATTGAAGCACGATACCTTTCTTCGATTTTTGCCATGCTTATCTTTCCTTTTAACATCATTCTTCCATTCAAAATCGTCGTCATCCAATTCGTCCCTTCGATCATTTCCGACGTCACTTTCACTTGCCGTTTCCCATTCAGAGTCATCAGTATCTTGGCCACATGCAGCTCCAGCATCCCCTTCACAGTTTACGTCCCCGTGTTTAGTGGCAGCCTCTTTAAATAACCAAGCTGCACGCATCTGTTTCTTAACCAAACGCTCTGCATAATCAGGAACCTTATTTTGCCTCGAGGACAGATCCGGATCAGTTGACTGGGAACATTCGTTTATGAACAGTATAGCGTCTAGCAAACTCTCCTTAGCTAATCCGAGCATGTCATAGGCTTGTGCTCGTCTCCAAAGGCTTTTTGCATGGCGATTAACTGGGGTATGAATACAAAGTGCACGTGTAGTATCACTTGTAGCATCCCAGGGCTTTTGCAGCAAAAGATGACACTGAGCTCGATTACTATACAGCACGACTCTTTCTTTCTTTGACCTCATTGGGCACAAAGCCAGTGCTTCTGAATACTTTGACGCAGCACCAGAAATATCTCCCGAAGAGAACAAGGAATTTCCTTCGAGTTTGACCACTAAAGCAGCTGCCTGTTTGATATGAAGATCTTCCTTCGGCATATTCTTTTCCCATTTAAATCTTTGTCGAGAGGTTAGAAGTTCCTCAACCTCCCCTTTGGCACTGCTACTGATTGAGTTACGGCCTGTTCCTTGTGATTGAGTACATTCATGAAGAACGTTAACAATTGAATCCCCGAGTTTCTTGTGATCCCCTAGCGTAGAGATTCCTGCAAGGTCGACTAGTGCAGTTATGGCCTTATCAATCACCTGTATAATTAGTGTAGAATATCAGAATAGGTAGTTCAAAAATTAAGAAACTGCTGAAGAAATTCTGGTCATCGTAAATTATTAGAGTTCACTTCTTAAATATTATAAAGTATACTTATGAAATTCAAATTGCATTTACTAATGTGGCGTCAAAGTAACTGGTTGTAAATCAAAGGTAATTACCGTATGACAGGTAATTGGATCTTGGAGCAACCAGAGAAGACAGTCGATGGCCATATATTGCCAGTCATCTGATGATCGTGCTATGTTACACAATGCCTCTATGATGCCAGGACAGCTAGCGACGGGTCCCCTACCGATCTTATGAGAACAAATTGTCCGTAACAGCCCAATACCAGCTGGCGAGTTTTCATTCACAAGTCCCCCCCACATACCTGGAAGTTTTACTAAAAAGTCTGGTTTGCAAATAGTGGGAAGAAATTCAGGTTTGAAAGCAAAGCAATTTATGAGTTGAAGGGACCAGCACTGAAGCTGACTAGCCCATTCCTCCGCTTTCCGTGACTCCATTTCATAGCCACCCATTCCCCGCGTAAGAAGATCGCAATGATAACTCAGCCTCCGGTCGACATATTGGTAAAAGTACGTGTATACAATTTCGAGTGAACTCATTGCCAGCTGCATCGAGAGCTCTAAAATCTCACCATGACTTGCTACAGCTGGAAAAGTACTGGAGTATGTAGCTAAGTGCCCTAATGCTCGTATAGCCACTCTCTGTTCAACCCAAGTTAACTTTCCTCTTAAAAGTTCGACCAAGGCTGGGATAACCCCGGCATTCACAGCTGTTTCTGCAAATTCTTCCATATTCATGGTATAAGATCCGATTATATGTGCACCATAGTAAGGGATATATATATTTTGGTCGTGTGATAGCCAACGTCGGTTCTTTAATCCCTTCGAGATAAGTGCCACCATGCATTCAAGTATTCCTAACTCAATAAACTCAGGATCATTAGGATGTGCCATTGCAGTATTCCAAAGCCCACTAATAGGAAGAACCTGACCATCATCATCCCGTAAAGGCAATTCTCTGAAGAACTTAAGTATGTTCGCTCTACGCTTGCTTGGGTTTACTTCATGCATGACACAAAAGAAGCATCTCGGGTATGGACAGTCAGAGGAAGCTTTATCCATGGTCGTATAACTCAAAACCCAGGTCTTAACAAGTACCTGCTAATCAATTCTCCTTCAAGCTTCTACCTAAAATAAATACATGAGCTCTGCGTCAGCTATTGTTGCATAAAATGGCATCTATTAACCTTAACATAAAAATATTGATGAGTTTAAAATTCGAATATCTTCTTCATGATTATGATCTTTTCTTTTTTTGTCTATGGGAATGATGCAATAAATGATTTACATTTAATTACATGGAATTGTCTAATAAACATTTATTATTACACTGCTTCCAGTTACCTCGTATAATCAGAACAGCATGAAAAGTTGTATCTTTTCTTATACTAAGCTTGCAGTTAGTTATCAACGAAATGCAAGTATGAAGCTGCCATCTTTCCTATATAGATCATTTTCAACAACACATGCTCTTTTTCTCTACCACGCATCGGGCTTCATTCTAATTTGTCAACTGTTTTACCGGCCAACCGACTACATCTGTGGAAATAGTTAACTACAACTCACATTGATGCAGCACAATTGGCTAGACATACAAGCTACGCTGATTTAACCCTTGTTTGGTGAGGATTAAAATCATATTTTTAGTAAATTTTGATAGAAGTTGATGAAATGTGTGGTTGAAAAGTCGTGGGACCCGTAAAATATGTTGTTGAAATGAATTGTTGACTTTGATTTACATTAAAATATAGATTTTAATGAGTACCAAACAGGGGCTTAATTCTATGAACAACTAATTCACCAGAAGAACATGGCAGAATTTAAAAAAATCCAAGAAATTCGAGCTACCAAAACAAAGATACATCAAAAAAATAACGACAAAGAAACCATTCTTGAACAAGCTTTGCAGTGAAGCAGTTCTTTAACAAGCTTTCCAGTCAATTTCATACTTGTATCATCTCAATTACCAGGAACAGGAACCACAATCTAAATAGCTGGTTATATTAACCAATTATCTAACATGATCGAACACAGTCAAATTCTGAAGAACCATTTATCATCTACAGAAAAACAGAACACACCCATAAAAATGGTAAAAAATAAGAGCAGAAATTAAATTCCAAAATATTCAAATCACATAGCAAGAACCGAAACTCAAAAACTCTGAAAACAAACATCAACAACAATAAACAGAAGAACCCATTTTGATTTTCAGAACAGAAACAACATAAAATTCAAAACTTCGAACAAAGAATCAAAGGGTTTTAAGTATATCCTAAGCAGTAAACATACCTCAAAATTAGCTAAATTCTGAGTTTTGAAAAAGAAAACAGCGGACATTCTTTCCTTTAGAGCAA